CCATGTGAGAGGTGTGTAAAATATTATATACACATAGCATAATCTTTGGAACTCCGTCTCTACCTCTGCAGACGGCTATTAATCTAGAGGTTAGGTGACAGGGACAGATGCAATGGGGGCAGCAGCTCAACCAAAGTCCAATGCTCAATTATTCAATTATGATCAAAATAAATAATTTGGTCTAAATTTGATATTGATAATAAAAAGAATATTTGTTAAAACTTATTTATTTATAAATTAATCTATATATAAGTATATTTTTGAAATTGAACCAAATATGGACATTAAGAGCTCGTTTCGTAGAGATTAAAATCAAATTAAAATTGAACCAAATATGGACAAATATTCTTTCTTTATTGAACCAAGTATTCTTAGTCAATTAAAATTGAACCAAATATGGACATTAGTCGTTATTGTTGACTTTTCTTAAACGAATGAGGTCTAATAACGACTACATTTTCAATTTTAATTGGATTTTAATCGGTACCAAACAGGTTCTTAACCTTTTTTGAATTTTTCAAAATATTATATAAGTGGGATGGGATTGGAAGGGATGCATGTTTGACATGTCACCATGTAAGGATATTAAAATTGAACCAAATATGGACATTAGTCGTTATTGTTGACTTTTATTAAACGAATGAGGTCTAATAACGACTACATTTTCAATTTTAATTGGATTTTAATCGGTACAAAACGGGCTCTAATTAAATCTAATTTCTTTGGGCCTCATAATTCTTAGTCGATTTTTCTTTCTTTGGTTGAGATTTCTCGCTCACTTTGAAATGTGATGATATAGAAGATCGATGAACACAACAAATTGTATTTGAGACAATAACATAAAGACTAGTGATAAAATATTGAATGCGTACTTTGATTAAACTTTCAGTTGTTTAGAAAGATTGGGTCGTCAAAGTTATTAGAAAAGTACTCATTAAGTAAAAATTTTTTTAATTTTTCATTGGTGGATATGTACTTTGCTTATTTCTATCATGATTCAGTCAATTTATATTTTTTAAGGTAAACATTGATTTTCTATTTGGTAAGAAAAAAATACAAAGATCTAGTGGGACATCTTAAGGTGAGACTTCTAGAATTTGTTTTATTTCATTGGGTGTCGTATACTTTTTATCGTAAATGTCATGAAAATAGCCCCCGAAACTCAATTTCTTATGGTGTGAGTTCAATTTTAAAAAAAAAATTTAATTTCAGCATATCCTAATATTGTTTTTTGACTCCATCCGACATCATAGTTAACGATTGTCTGACGATTAGTTAGCTCCACAAATTTGGATGATATTTTTCTGCATATGGACATAGAATTTTTGTGGGCAGGTTGTGTATGTAGAATTGGGAATTCAAGGTTATTGTAGGTAGTTATGGATGAGTTGCAGGTGGTGGTGGTCTGATGTTGTGGTGGTATTGTTGGTAGTGGTGGTATGGTGTGATGAAGGTAGTGGTGTTGATCTTTGATTTGAAGTGGATGTGGTGATGCTTATTGATAAGTGTATTTTATATACTTATTCGGAGTCTAAAATAAAGATATTTGGTAATTCTTTTGATAAAATATATCAAAAATTGTTATATTTTACTCAATGGTTGGATAAAGAATTGAAAAAAAGAAGCAAAAATTGATGAAAATTGTGAATTCCAAAGTTTAAGGATCAAATTGCAAATACTCAATAGTTGATTTAGACCATAAGGCAATACTTTGAAGATTGTTAAGAGATAATTTGATGGAATTAGAATTTAAAAAAATGAAATATGATCAAAACAGTATCAAAATCAATTTTCAATCGTATGATTTATATTCCAGATTTTTAGCCAAAGTTTGAGACCCATTGTTGGCATAATAGACGTCCGTATTGAAAAATTCTATTTCTATAAAGTTGTAGCCCATTTTAGTTAGATTTTCCACATACTTTGAATCACCTTAATTGAATATCAGAAAAGAAAATTATGATGAATATAAATGTATTTTAAAAATAACGAAAATCAAACAATGACTTTATATTAAACATATAACTATGGTGGATGGTTACCACTCCCTATCCCCCACATATACCCCCATTTGCAAGACATTTTCTTGCCACCACCACATTCTGGCCGTTGTGCAAAGACAAAAATATGCATGTGCGTATGGAACTTTCTTTTTTTTAATTAGAATTCTTTTGAAAACCAATTTAGACGTGATTTTCAACCAATTTTCAACTCCCACAAATATTTAACAACAGAATACATATAAGATACATCTCATATACATATTATACTCCAACATTTATCAATTATTATTCAATCTTGATTTTTTGGCAAAGAATAGAAGTCGTAAGTGTAGATTCATCAAAAAACTATTGGAAATATTTAAAACTTCAAAATTTATCTTCATCTTCTCAATTTATCAAAAATTCGAGTTATATCTTTCCAGTTAAATATGATTTCTTGTAATTTCGACATGTTATACTAGTTTTATACATTGTTAAGATGAGATGAACACTTCAATACTATAAAAATCAAAATAATTGATTATTTTGACTTTAATTTGATTTGCTTCGTAGATATTTATGACCTTGTTTGGTGCACATTAAAATGAGAATGTATTTTTTAAGTGATGTGATGAGAAATATGTGGTTGAAAAAGAAGGAAATGTTATTGATATGATATAAAATATTATTTTATTGAAGGATGTGTGGTTGAAAATGAGTAGAAGAATGAGAATAAAAAAATAACGTAGATCGTTTTTTCAATTATTTGATCAACAATTGAATTGTTAGTAAATTTTATTGTTATCGAGAGAGATAAGAGAGTTTAAACACAATATAATAAATATTGTAATGTTCGATAAATGATAAAAATATACATCTATACTTTATATGGTTTCAATAGGTATTCTAACACTTGTTAATGGATTTATTATATTTACATCTTTTACCGAGAGATAGAAGGGTCACATGAGAGAATATATTTGATCGCTACCGTGAGAGACTTTAAATTAAATTAGGAATATTGACCAATATGAATGATTTCAAATTGTCATTTTAATTGTTGTGCTAAAAATAGAATAACAAGGGGTATTCGACATCTTAACAATGTATATCACATATTTAAAAAAACACATTTACTTGCTTTCACTAGTTTAATTTGATAATTTAGAGATTAATATAGAAAAATCACAAAACTTGTTTCTCATTCGATTAAACTTGCAATTAATTTTAGCTCGGTCAAATACACAATCCCCAGGGGTTCGATACTCCATTTACTACTTTATTACTTGTTCACGATCACGTCCACTTGCAAAAAATCAAAGGGTCGCTTATGGTAGCAATGCGACTATAGGCTCTGCTTGTGTTTGTAGAATTAGTGAATTGGAAGAACTGGTTGGAAGTTGTGGTGCAAGTGGTGGTTGTAGCGATGGTGGTGCGTTAGAGATGTTTGTGAAGGTGGTAGGTTGTGGATTAGAGGCAGTGACAACATTTTAGGTGGTGCGACACTGGTGGAATGGGGTAGGAGAGAATTAAGGGCAATTTATGATTAGTTAATTGAGTAATTATATCGTTAAATAAGTTGTGATCAATTAATTTAATAAATTTATGATCGATAAATTAACTATCACCTATAAAATATGTGATTTATGATTAAATTTGAATTTGTGACCACTTTTTATGTGTTTGTGATTGTGACGATCTAGGATTTGTGACTAGTGTGTAAATGTGACCATAAATTTTATGTCTTGTGACATTAACCTATTTAATTAGTCTATGTTTGTCTCTTACTCTTTCAAAACTTTTTTTTTACATGTTCATTTTCAACCAGACATTCACATAATAAAATATTCTACATATAAATTTAAAATTTTCTCTACTTTTTAACTACACATTCTCCCAAAAATTGCTATTTAAACAATCTATTTCCAAAAAAATGGCCATCAAATAAGGACTTAATACCACCTGATTTTTAAAAGAATTACATAAATTTGTCAAGTTTGAAAGTATATTTTTAAAGGTCGGTATTTATGTACTTCCTGAAATAAAGTATGATATATGGGCATTTAGGTTTGGACTTTGGAGGGTTTGGATGGATTATCTCAAGATTTTGCTATTTTTAAAATGTAAAAATAAAAATTTCAAATGTCCTTTAGTTTAAATTAAAAAAAAAAAGAAATAACATCCTCTGGCGAGGACACGACTACTTGAGCTCGTATGCGGCCGGCCGGCCTAAGGATGACCTAGCATATATTTCAAAGTTGAGCGGTGTCACTTCAACGTAATCCAATTTACACCTCTAATTTGAATTTTTAAAATTTTAACATAAACCAATTAACAATTCCAAGGCCACCAGTACTATAACAATGTAGGACTTCAAAGATAATTATGTAATATTTAGAAATTTGAATGATTATTATTTTCAGAAAATGAGCATTAACATACTAAGGACGTGTACGGGAGGAATTTTATACCAGATTTTAATCATATTTATAGATGTTGCATCAGCACTCAGTCTTTTTTTTTTTAATTCTTTTCTCACACTGGGGCCTATTTGGAGTTTCACAACGGTAAAATTTCTACTGAAAATCTTTTACAAATTGGTGCCAGACAGGCGCTCACTCTAAACTTCTAAAAACCGATTTTGCGATTAATTTGATTTCACTCCGATGCTAAATGATATGCTGTCTGGTGCTCGAGTAATAAAAAAAGAAAAAGAAAAAATGGACTTTCTCGAGTTGCTCTGTTTCTGTACGAGAACATCCTCGACTATGTTCCACAGGAAAAAACCAAACAGTGAAAAGGACAACTTCCACATATAGTACCGTGCAAAATCCATAATCCAACTGCCAGACTCTTCTAGAATCGCCAAAAATACTATTCATTTTCCCAAATCTTCTCTTATAAAAAAAAACAAATCCATCTTCTTCCACTCCACTCTGCAGATTTACACACAAAACCCCTTGGTATCAAGAAAATTTTTCAGTTGACGAATCTCAATTCTCAATAGGCCCAAGAAGTATGGCCTGTGCAACACAAGTTCACTTCCCGTTTTCTCGATCATCAAGACTCAAGACTCCTTTTTTGGGTCATAAGTCATGTACAATTTCATTCACTTCCTTCAATCCTAAAAACAAGAAACAGAAAAATTACAGGCCCTTGAGGGTGGTAAATGAGAAGGTTGTGGGAATAGACTTGGGCACCACCAATTCAGCTGTGGCGGCAATGGAGGGTGGACAGCCTACTATCATAACCAATGCCGAGGGGCAGCGAACGACTCCATCTGTGGTAGCGTATACGAAGTCGGGGGACCGGTTAGTCGGGCAAATTGCGAAAAGGCAAGCCGTGGTGAACCCGGAGAACACATTTTTTTCAGTGAAGAGATTTATTGGAAGGAAGATGAATGAGGTTGATGAGGAGTCTAAGCAGGTTTCGTACAAAGTGGTCAAGGATGAGAATGGGAATGTGAAACTTGAGTGCCCTGCTATTGGTAAGCAATTTGCTGCTGAGGAAATTTCAGCTCAGGTAATTTTTTCAAAATTCTCTTAAGAAATCTGAATTGTTTAGTGTTTTTAGATGATCATTAATTACTTTGGTGATAATTGTACGATAATAGCGTTTTCCAGTGTCAATTTTGCACTATATGAGGCTCTAGAGTTAAGTCTGTGTATTGACCTACTTTTTGAAGTTTAAGCAGAGAAAGGACAAATTTTTCAAACTAAAAAAAAAAAAAAGGGGACAAATTTTTCAACATGCCTTGTTCGGACCGGTGTATTTTTTTTTGCATGAAAAGCTCAAAAGCTTGCAAAATTTTCATAATTAGGCGTCGGGGTACTTGAGCTAAGATTTTGACATGCTTTTACTATATTTAACCTCCTAAAAGCTTAAGTTGTGAAGGAGATGACAAATTTATTATTTTAAATTATGTGATCAACACTGTCAAGTTAGGTTAGCGCTGTATATAAAACATAAAGGAATCACAATGATGGAATTTTTCATGGTTGCATAGATGAATTCACTTTTGGTGTTTCCTTGGTTTGTGTAGAACATAATAAGAATTGTAGATTGCTTTTGAGTCAAACTGAATCATCAGAAGCTAAACTTGGATTCAGGTTTTAAGAAAGCTTGTGGACGATGCCTCAAAGTTCTTGAATGACAAGGTTACAAAAGCAGTAATTACCGTGCCAGCATACTTTAATGATTCCCAAAGAACTGCGACTAAAGATGCTGGTCGTATTGCTGGTTTGGATGTTCTCCGTATCATCAATGAACCAACAGCTGCTTCATTGGCCTATGGATTCGAGAAGAAGAATAATGAAACAATTCTAGTTTTTGACCTTGGAGGTGGTACATTTGATGTTTCAGGTACATGCCACTTTGCTCTGTGTTGTTCCCCTTTCGTTATTCTTTGCATCAGTATAATACAATGTCCCTTAAGTTACGGTATTTGGGTATGCATTTATTTTTGTCTTTTCAGATATCTCCTTAACGTGTTGTGTTGAAAGGCTTTGAAAGCTTGCTTATTACATGTGTTTAAACAGTCCAGACTGATGAAAATAATTGTGTAAAAATATTTCTGGACCCATGTCTAAAAGTTCATTCTTTTAGTTTTATTGTCATAAAAATAGTTTTCTTTTGGTTTTCCGATTTTTTAATCTCTGTCCTTTGGTAATCTTTTAACTGGAACCTCAGATACTCGTGTTTCCCTAATTTCAAGAGTTGCACAGTTGAGTAGAAATGTGGTTCTGAGTTTATAGCTAGTTAAAAGAAATTAATCTGGTAAATAGAAGTAAATAAGTTGGAAGTTAAAAATTGTAGATTGATTGACCCTTCCAGTTTCTACAAGCTTATTACTTTCATGAACCTACACAAGATTTTATATAGCCTTTTCACTAACTTGTTCAGCTCTTACTTGGCAGTTCTTGAGGTAGGGGACGGAGTCTTTGAAGTGCTCTCGACCTCTGGAGACACACATTTAGGAGGCGATGACTTTGACAAGGTATGAATCTGTAATGAGAAGCAATTTCTTGTAAGAGTATTTCTTTTGATGATGATGATTACGTTCTTCTTGTGCAATAGAGAATTGTTGATTGGCTTGCTGATAACTTCAAGAAAGGCGAAGGTATAGATCTTCTTAAAGATAAGCAGGCACTTCAACGCCTTACAGAAAGTGCAGAGAAAGCAAAGATAGAATTATCCTCTTTGACCCAAACTAACATAAGGTATGTTGTTCTTCATGCATGACAATCTCAGTAAATTCAGTTTGTTCCCGAGTCAATCCAGTGATATCTGTGTTGTGCAGTTTACCTTTCATCACTGCCACTGCAGATGGTCCAAAACATATCGATACGACATTAACACGGGCCAAGTTTGAAGACCTATGCTCGGATTTACTAGACAGGTTTGTCATGTTTTTGTTCATTGTTTTAATATGCTTGTCTACATGGAAACTCATCTTGTGTGGCATTCATATTTATAGGCTCAAAACTCCTGTTGAAAATGCTTTAAGGGATGCAAAGCTTTTGTTTAAGGATATAGATGAAGTGATACTTGTTGGTGGATCGACGCGAATTCCTGCTGTTCAACAGCTTGTCAGGAAGTTGACTGGCAAAGAACCTAATGTTACGGTTAATCCAGATGAAGTAGTTGCTCTTGGAGCTGCAGTTCAGGTATGCATTTTTAATATTTTTTATTTCCCCATTCTGTAATTTGTAAGCTGATCGTGTTTTTTTATGCGGTCATTCTTGTATATGCTTGTGTTTAGACTTCCGAATTAGCATGATAGCACTTAGTTGATCTGTGTTCATGAATATTGCTCTAGGCTGGTGTTTTAGCTGGAGATGTTAGTGATATTGTTCTCCTGGATGTGACTCCATTGTCACTTGGCCTTGAAACGTTGGGTGGTGTAATGACGAAAATCATTCCCAGGAATACGACCTTACCGACTTCTAAATCGGAGGTGTTCTCTACTGCAGCAGATGGGCAAACCAGTGTTGAAATCAATGTGCTGCAAGGTGAAAGAGAGTTTGTGAAAGACAATAAATCTCTTGGAAGTTTTCGCCTAGACGGAATCCCACCAGCTCCTCGTGGAGTTCCCCAGATTGAAGTCAAGTTTGATATCGACGCCAATGGTATCCTTTCTGTGTCAGCTGTTGACAAGGGAACTGGCAAGAAGCAGGACATCACCATAACTGGTGCCAGCACTTTGCCCAAAGACGAGGTATGTTTCAATAAATTAATGAAAAAAACACTCTTTTCCAACCTGTTCTGTCAAAGACCATTGTCACGGTTAAGACATGTAAGGATATAAGTTCTTTGTTAATAACCTCATTTAACTCATTTTAGGTGGAGAGTGATTATTAAACTCTGTCATGCCTGCTTAACTCATTTAGGCTAAAACTGCTTTAAAAGTTCTTGATTTTTCCCACTCTGTTGTAGACTTTATCTTGACATTTAAGAGCGATTCACATTCTAATATCTTTAGGCTACAATTTTCTATACTATTTGTTGATATAGAACCATGGAATTTTTAAGTAGTCATTTAACTTTTTATCTTTTGTTGCTTGTGAATGCATTTACAAACTATATGATCCTTTCTGAATTAAAAATGTGTAGGTGGATAGAATGGTTAATGAAGCCGAGAAATATGCAAAGGAGGACAAGGAAAGGAGAGAAGCCATCGACACTAAAAACCAGGCAGAATCTGTTGTATACCAAACTGAAAAGCAGCTAAAAGAGTTGGGAGACAAGGTTCCAAGTGCAGTAAAAGATAAGGTCGAGGCTAAATTGAAAGAGCTTAAGGACGCTATATCTAGTGGGTCTACTCAAACTATCAAGGATGCCCTGGCTGCAGTGAACCAAGAAGTTATGCAGATTGGTCAGTCACTATACAGCCAGCCAGGAGCTACGAGTGCTGAACCGTCCACCACGGCATCTGGTTCAAGTGATAAATCATCTGGTGGAGACGTAGATGGAGACGTGATTGATGCAGACTTCAGCGAAGGCAACTGAAAAAATGTAATTATGCCCATGTAATATTTTACGACTTTTGATATTACGGTAATAGTTTGGCTAGTTTAGTTCATTGACGTTCCACTTCTGTTCATGTCAGTGGATGCTTATGTTTTACTCGCATGTAGTTGTAGTATAAATCACATTAAGAGAGTGGAGTCTACTTGTGTATATATGCAGTGATTGCTCTGTTTTATTGAGGTTAAATCACAGCAAAAAACCAATTCATCAAAGATCCGAAGAAGTGCATACAGGCTTTAAGAATCTGGACCTTCTTCTTCATGAATCTTTTCTTAGAAGCTGATTCAGTAGCGAATTCATCTGCTGCTGTTGAATCAAACTCCTGGTGAATTCCACAGTACCCTTCCGGCACTGATCTTTACATGGACGGTGTTCTCTTCGACAAATTCATTCTCAGAATCCTTTTAAGAGACCGAATGTTTATCACTTAGAATTACTCTGTAGATTTCACCAATACCGTGTTCATGTTCAGCTTGGGTTTTGGATGGTAGTCTGGTCAACTCTCCCGGGATTTGGGGGGAAAGAGTTGTTATTGAAGTTGAAAACAAAAAGCGGAAAAATCTACGGATTTTGATCTTGGGTTCCCTTTTTCGATCCATTCATTTTGGCTTTCGAAAGTGAGGTAAATGGTTTCATTTGAGAGGATATGGAGAAGAAAAGTAAATAAGTACTGGAACTAGAGGAATCACAGAGTAATGCCCGTGAAATATAAAACTGAGTGATGTTGTTTCCTTTGGAGTTGTACTATATTTTTATGTGAGTAGAGGACAAGAGAAGCAAGAAGGTCGATAGAATGTCCTTTTGACAAAGGCTCGAGATTGACATTGTTGTTCCGACAATAATGTTCTGTCACTCAAAATGTTTATAAAGAGCGTGTAGGACACATTATCTGCCATAGGCACTAGGGTATTATACTGAGCCGTTATTGATGGCATTGGCGATCGAAACTTGTTAAGCACTTTACTCCTGAACTCAATTGAGTTAAACCAGAATCTCTCTTTTCTTATTTTTCAGAAAGTTATCTTTTCCTATTTCCTAATTTCTATTTGAAACATTGGATCGTGTAGAACTTTTCAAGTAGCCTTATGTGCATTTGGGAATGCCTGAAACATTGGATCGTGTAGAACTTATGTTGCTTGTCTAGAACTTTTCATCATGCCTGAAGTGCTGGTGCGTCTTGAACATTCCGATTAACTGAAGACATCTCCGTTTCTAGACTTTTCCACACTTCGGCTATTTTTGGCCGCAATAACTTTGCCCCTTATGTTTCAAGTAGCCTTATGTGCATTTGGGCATTCCGTCTCTTAGCGTAGTGCCCCATTTGCGCTAAAATTCATCCCTGGCGTAGAGGGAATGTGCCAGGGGCAGATGTAGGGGGTGGACTGGTTATTACTAGAGTTTTTGTATGAATTATAGAATCCAATGATCGTATATGAGGTTCAAGTATTTGTCGCACCATCTCGTCTAAGAGGTTATGATATTAGACACAAAATTGTTGATGTCTAATCATGTGCAACTCGAATATATTTTTTTGTAAAGCTTGATACGTTCACAATTTCCTAAGCGGGTGGAGAAAATACTTGAATCCGGACTTTTTGTCTACTTTTAATACTATATTGAGCCACCGAGCTGAAAGCTTAAAATATGTCGCCAACACTATTAGGTTATTACATTAGTTTTATGAATGTTTAGTGCTTTATAATATTGGTTTGTGTAGAACATACTACGAAAGAAATAGCAACTTCGTACTGCACTCGCTTATAGTTTGTAAGAAAGCTTGCAGACAATGCCTCGAAGTTCTTGAACGAAAAGGTTACAAAAGCAGCAATTACTGCACCAACATACTTTAACGATTCCGGTGTTGGTTGTGCTGGTTTGTGTTGAAGAAGGGACTCCAAAACTACAAAGATCCGAGCTCAGTATGTTGAATCAACCACCACAATCGACAACACTATCTCAAACCAAAACACCCAAAACCGGTTGCTTTACGAGTTACCCACAAAGGATAAGTGTGAAGGTTGTTGTAGCCTCAAGGATCAGTCACAAAGGCTAGAGAAGGAGAAAAACAAAGCATAGTCAAGCACAAAGCCAACACAGAGAGGCACAAAGCCAAGCGATGCTGTTTTTCTCTCAAAATACGACTAACCAAATTTCACACACTCGTCAAAAGTAACGGGCAACATATATAAAGGGGGGATTTGGTATGAGCTTTTAGGTTAGAAAGTAATAAGGCCTACTAGGAAATATATAAGTGGGCTGTCAACTAGAAAAAGCCATCCAAGTTTTGGGTTGGGCCATGAACAACACTAATTTAATTAGGCTATTTCAAATGGCTCAAGTATATTATATCATTGGTTTAAACGTATGGTGTTGATATACAACTTCAATCATTTGGCCGATATCGTCCGGGAGGTCGTTTGACAACAATTTGCCTAACAAACCTCCACTTTGGTGTCAAAGGACTTGCAAAGAAAATTATTACACATTAGTAATAATCCAGGAAGAGAGGACCAATAAAATTGAAAATTATTTACCTTCACTGATATTTAGAAGATTTTTGCAACTTTTAAACTTCACCAACGGAAGTACCTTAGTGCCAATGTCTGAGGGATTATATTGTGTGTGTATTTTCTTAAGTCTTACAACTTCTTGTTGTTGACCTATGGTCGATCTTATGTTTTGATTATAACAAACAAAATATGTTTATCTCTAACATTGATATTTAAGTCTTCATTATCATATGTTGCGGACCTAATCAAATTGGAGACAAAATGAAAAGTTGTAAATCAAGAAAGCACAAAATGGAAATCAATCATTCACAATCGAGAACTCACACCAAATCAAATAGAGACAAACATTGCACCGTTTCAAAATCAAGCAACAAATTGAGCACTCGTGCCAAATTGTTCGAAGATATTGGAATTAGATGTTCTTAGCTCGTTTGTAAAGGTAAAACACTTTAATTGATAGCAGTGACACATTGAAAGCTCAAGTGATGAAGTTTGTATGAACGATAAATACTCACTTCATTAAAACGTTTGCACAAGAATTTTATTTCAAAGGTAAGATTTTCAACATAATCTTGAATACCATTAAACCTCACCTACCTTGAAATATCTAGTAAAAATATCATGCAAAAATCTACTAGCTGCAAACAAACAAAAAAATGGCCTAGAAATATTCTGGCCAGCCGGATGGCGAACCGAACATCCTGTTCGTCGTAACAGTAAAAAATTCGACCGTTTTGACTGATTTTCAATGGCTATTTTTTTGGGGGTCGTCTAGTACTGTTCCGGACGTCCGGATGTGTTGTCCGATTCTACAGAACATTTGACAGTTGAACTGCTATAAATACCAACTCACTTGCCATTCAATCTAACAACTTGAGAGCATTAAAGTGAGACTCTTTTGAGCAAAATAGCATTGATTTCTCATTCTATTTATTATTATTAAATCATTTTATTTGGAAAAACTTTTGATTAAATCAATTATTGAAAATCATTCAACACAATAAAGTTTTTTTAAACCTAACACTTGAGAGCTTCACTCATTACTATCGATTAAATGTGTGTTTGATGGATATTATTGAGAAAAAAATGTATTTTAAATAGTGATATGATGTAAATATGTGATCAAAAGTAAAGAAAAGTTATTGATGTGATTGAAAATATTATTTTATTAAAGAATGTATAGTTGAAAATGAGTTTTGAAAGAATGTATTTTAAAAGAATGTGTACCAAACATGGGCTTAGTTGTTATCCTATCGTTTATTAAGAGAGAAGTTTTCAATTTGTAAATTCAATTCTCTTTAAACTTGTGGGTTGTGTTGAGGTCCCGGATAGCTTAACGTTGTAAAAGGATCGGTGATCATTGCTTGTAAATCACCGGAAGCATTGTAAAGGGTTGGATTGTATCACAAGTCAATCAATATGGTGAAATTGACCTTGCTCGTGCCGGAGAGCTTGGTAACGGGGGACGTAGATCATTGCGTTGGATCGAACCTCCATAATTATATCTTTTGCACTCTCTATCCCTCTTCACTTATTGTTTTCATATTTTTGTTTGATAATTTAATCAATCAATCTAGTTATTATTTGTTTGATTTTAAGTTAATTTTTTGAAAACATTTTAAAAACCAATTCACCACCTCTTGGTTAGCAAATCTTGGGCTATCACTTGTAACACAATATCTCTAATGAAATATAATCTAATATCAATGTGTTTGGTGCATTCGTGAAAATAGGATTCTTGCATAGGTGTATAGAGGACTGACTACTAGAATATATTATCACATAATCCTTTAAAACACAAAGTTCATGTAGAAGACCTCTAAGCCATAAAGCTTCTTTAATAGTTTCAGTAGTAGCGATGTATTCAGATTATGTTCTGGATAGTGCAACTTTGTGTTGCAACTGCGATTTCCATCTAACACAAGAGTTAGACAAAGTAAACACATAAGAAGTGAATTTCCTATTATCCCAACCCTTCAGTTTAACACCCTCATTATTGACACCAAATCTTAGACCTAAATTACAAATTTTCTTTAAGTACCTTAACATCCATTTCAAGGCTTCCCAGTGTTCAGGACAAAGATTAGACATGTATTTACTAAGAGTGTTAACAGCAAAAACTAAATTTGGTATAGTTTAAACCATCAAATACATAACAGAACCAATCACATTGAAGTATGGAATTCTACTCATGTATTCTATTTCTTTTTCATTACATGGAGTTTGATCTTTAGATAATACAAAATGATTAGCTAAAAGTAAAGTAACATGTTTGCAATCATGCATGCCAAATTGCTTTAACATTTTTGAAATATAAGAGGATTGATGTAAAAACAAGACAGAATTTGACCTATCTTTTTCAATTTCCATACCCAAGATTATTTTAGCCTTTCCTAAGTCTTTCATGTCAAATTCACCAGTCAAACTTGTTTTTATGTTATATATAGCAATAAGAACACATAGTCATTA